GTTTCGTTTTTACAGATCATACTTCAGCTCAACATAGTTTTAACAATTTGCATACTCTTGCTTCTTGAGTGCTCGGAGACTTTTATAACCTCTCTAGTATTTTGATTGTGACTTTGTTTTATTATAAACTAGCCCGCTAAATAGTATGTGGCTGTTATCATCGATATGATTTATTTTGGAAGTATTGGTATCTCTTGATAAAAGCATTTGATGCCGGCCAACCGCTTAACCCTAAGATATACGCTGCTGGAGAAGAGATCATTTAGAGTTAAACAGGCTTACTTAGCGCTCGGCACAGGTGGCTTATAAGCAAGCTGGATGTCGTTTAAGACAAAAGCAAAGGGGATATCGTTTTTGTGGCCCAAAAATCCAATTTAGGTTACATTATTTAATCGACGTTTCGTTTTTAGGGTTTCTTACTCTAGGGTTTAGGGTCAAAGGGGACCAAACTGTAAGTCAAGAAGTACTTTGTTGTTTGCATTTTCGGAAAGCCGCCTCAAAAAATCGCTTAGCATGCGCTTCTCACTCCCAATTTAACTTCACCCACAACATTAGCTGTAACAGAACTGTATGGTCTAGCTTGCATGCACAGTCAGACCTTTATTTCTGCACACTGCAAAGCTCTAGCACAACTATAAAGGTTTCTTTTGATTATCGTTGGTTCTGTGAATAAGCAACTAGATGCATAATGTTTCACACAGCAAAGTCTGAAAATTATGGAAATCTGGCTGCCAACTACCGGCACTTCACTAGTACCGTATTCATGAGTATCACTACAAATTTCTCCACCTGCTTTTTTGAGAGTTTTTTTGAGTTACTGTTCTCGTTTCCTGATTGCAAGCTCGACAACAGCTTTAGAACTTCCTTCAAACAAAAGGGTGAAATGGCATCACATTGGCCTGCATTAATACAAATTTTGCTGCTGTATGTGACGGTCACATCGCCTGAGCAAAGTGGGAATCATCATGTGAATTTGAAACTCATTGATGGCGAAACAGTAAGCTATACTACATTAACTTGGTGGTAATTGCGAAAGTCTCATCTCATCCTATTACAGCGGCAGGACGCTGTACTACGAGAATTTACAAAATTGTATAATAAACATAGAGGAACAAATGTGAGTGTGGTGCCAATTCATCCTGCTGCCTATGAATACTGGGGACTGTATGATGATACAAGACGGCGGCGAAGGGTAAGGATTTGCGACCATTTATGAGACTTAAATTCAAAACTGCTTTTCAGAGACAAGGTGAGAGAATAATGGTGGTAATGGATAGACGTCCTGCAGGGAAAATCTTGATACTCTCTGCAAAAGCAAGGCATGCTCACTTCTAAGACTGATGACTTTTTTAAGGTTGCGCAACCGAATGTGTCATGCCTACCATTGGGGACGGCCCGGCTGGGTATGGAGGTCTTGTCTCTGACAACATGTACTTTGAGATAAGTTCTGACGCTTGCCCCATTCTGACTATAACCTGTATCGGCGGCGGTTATGCAGCTATTGAAGTGAATACAAATTATGAAGAGGGCAGCATGGTTCGTTCATGGTTTATGCAAAAAAGCTGATGAATTTGGATTTTGTTATTTCAGTTAGCTGGTGAGTTCGACGAAGTTTCGATAGCTACCGCAACGTTGTCATGCGAACAGTACGGCTGGGGAGCACCCGAACCAGATCTTGCTATTATTGGAAATTCTTTTATTTGCGAAGGTACCTTAAGATTCCTTCTTTTT